CTGGGTCCATCTTGGTTTGTTTTGGGTGGGAGCCTCTATCTCTCTTGAAATTCTTCTCAGGCTCACACTTAGAAGGGAACCAGGTGAACATGGGTCTGACTTCTGGTTCTCCCACCAACTAGCTTTGTGGCTTTGGGCAAATCCTCTCCTAACCTCATTTCTTCATCTGTAAAGTGGGGGTTGTGTCTACCTTGAAGAGTGGTTTTAAGGATTAGAGATAATATATGCAAAACCCTCTCTCGCATATTCACAGGTTCTCACACAGAAACAGCAATTTCACAAGTTATTGTCTATTCTCTGCTGCAAGGAAGGTCCTATTCCTGCCTGGGGCACGGCCAATGGGTCACTTCCTTTGGCTTCCCGGGTCATTCTAAGGGTGCCATCCTCCCAACCCCCTCAACTATTTTTCCGAGTTTGGCTCCAGACTTGCCTCCTGTAGGGAGACTGGCCTGACTCTTCCAGCAAATGATCCTCCTAGAAACGTGGTGAGAAACAGGTTCGGCTCTCTTAAGCCACTTACTGCATTCTACTGAGTAGAATAGGTGTTAGTGTCCATAGGCCACTTCTTCTGTTAGAAAATAAAGCACATGAAGGCTTGCCCGAGTGCTCGGGGCTCCTGGAACCAGCTCTGACCAGGGAAGGGATCGTGCTCCCTGGCAGCACTTCTCATTCACTTGTGTATCTCCAGACAAACCATAAACTCCCAGAAGGCAGGGACCGTGTGGTGTTTCCTCTCTGGCACTTTGGGCGCCCTGTACATGTGAAATACTCAACTGACTGACCAGGTGGCCCTAGGAGGGCAGGGAGGAAGCTCCTGGCGAGGGGAAAATCCCCCCGGAGCCGGACCAAGGCCATCCTGACTGGGCACGGAGCCGTGGCTCCAGAACTCCTCCTGCCAAACCTATTCCACGTGTAAGAAACTACACTTTGCCGCTAAGTTGGCGTTCTATACCCTGACGACCCTTACCACATTCTACCTTGTAGCACAGTATTTGTGTACCTGTGTCCTACACAGCCTGTAAACCTGGATTGCTCTGTCTTCCCCCCTTTAAAGAGTATCTTACACATGCACAAGCACTTGACCCTCTCAGTGCAGCTACTTTTTATCTTTTGGAGACAGACATGGAAATTCAGAGTAGGGAAATGATTTGCTAGGGTCTCTTGGCAATCAAGGTTTACTGCATGAATAAAGATGACAAATGGAAATTCTGGAAAATCCCTCCCTAGGCTCCTATATGAACCCAGGCATTCAAGGCCACTCTTCTGCTAGGGTGATGAGCTCACACATGGAGCTATGAAGCCTAGAAGGGTTTGAGAAGTCACTATGAAGGCCTTCCATCTTGCTGGAAGGGCTTCTTCCTGGCCTTGGGCAGGAGGAACCCTGGGTTTTGTGTACAGGACCTTACTAGGGTATGATGTACAGGATATGGAGGATATGGTCTCAGCAATCCACGTGCTTATGGGCCGATTAGGACACAGAACTATACACAAAGTCCCATAATACAAGGCAGAATGTCCTAAGGGTCATCAGAGAGGCAAGAGAAAAGGTCACGTAGCTCAGAGAAGAGAGACATTGTCGCTGATGATGATCAAGGAACAGTGACACCTCATGGACAGGCAGAATTTGAGCTGGGTTTTAACCAACAGGGAGGATTTGGATAAAGGTCGGGTGTATGGGGGGGGGAGAGTATCAGGCAGTGGGAATAATGGCAAAGACACATGGAATTGATTGAAGAGCTTGACCAGGCCAGAGTGAGTCCTCTGCACAATGGGTGGCTTGAGGAAAAATGAGAAAATGAATGGTCAACTTGGTGGCTGGCTATTCACGGTCAGCTGCTCTTCTCTTACCACTGCTTGTGGACAAAGCCAAGTAGGTAAGTACTGGCGGGACAGAAAGGAGGGGAATACTCAGCCACAGAGGGAGGAAACATAGAGCTGCTTAAAGTCACTCTGTGCGGCTCAGGCTTCTTCTGATGGCATCCCCAGACTGAGTGCCGGGCAGGGAGGCTGCAGTCAAGGGAGGGCCTGGCCCCTAATTGCCAGGAATCAGATTCACTGTTAGGATGACAGAGCCAGGGGAGTTCCTAAAGACCATCTGCCCAGCCTCCCCATTGTACAGATAAGGACACTGAGGCTGAGGTGGGGAGGGCCTAGGTCACAGCAGGGTGAAGTTCCACTGGTTTCTCCACTAAGGTAGCTTCTTGAGAGACCCATGGGAAATGTGTCTCTGGATAAGCTGCACTTTGTAGGGGTGGCGTGGGGAACCAGTGCATATAAATGCCTGTCTATCCAGCCTCCACATGGTCTGGATCTACCTCCACATTTCAGATGTGTTCTAAGTCTTCTCAGGTATTCAGCCTCAGAAAATCCATGCTCAAGAAGTCCTAACAATCAATTTCTCTCTCCCTGACCATACTGTCTACTTTCCCTTTTAATGACCAATCAGGTGTGGGTAGCAATAATTTCCTTAGAGACTTTTTGTACAGACCTCATGCCATCTTGGTGCAAGGGCTCCATGGAGCTTGCTTTGAGAAATGGAGCTCTGCCCTATTCATCTAAACCTCTCCTGAGCATTAAGCCTCTCCGCTCTTGTTCTCTCCTCAGTAGAATTAGGGAGCAAGATGTAATAGCCCCTCCAGTACATAAATCCTCAAGTCCTCCGCTACACTGTCTGGGCCTGGAGAGAGGCTGTAGGCATTTGGTTACAAAACATTTATTAGCCAATGACAAGTCCTCCCATAAGTCCCCATTTGCCGCAGTCAACGTGCCCAGGTGAGTAGCATGGGGGATGCCTTTCTGATGGCTGCCTGAGACAGCTACCCCTGCCAGAAACACCACACATACTGAAGCGCCCCCAGCGTCTCCTGCCTAGGGAACTGTACTGGCACGGGATGAGAAGGGTGCTCTGAGCCTATGGCTTTTCTGGAGACAGGAGAACTCTGATGAAGAGCTCAGAGCCACACACGGGAAAGGATACTGGCCACCATTCTCTGAAGATGAATTCTGCCCCAGCACTGCTCTCACCACTTTTGTCATATTAGCTCACTGCACCCTATCACAAACCTGTGAGGCAGGACTTTTTTTTTTTTTTTTTTTTAAGTAGGCGCCATGCCCAGTGCAGAGCCCAATGTGGGGCTTGAACTCACAACCCTGAAATTAAGACCTGGGCCGAAATCAAGAGTCGGACCCTGAACTCACAGAGCCACCTAGGTGCCCCAGGCAGGCATTCTTATTGACACCACTCCTCTCATTTTACAGATGAGGAAAATGATACCCTGCAGGGTTAAGTCATTGCCAGTCAGTCCCAGAATGAGCAGGATTAGCAGGCAACGCCATGGTTCAAAGTCAGGGATGTCTGAGACAATAGTTCAAGCTTTTAACTTTTCCTAAGGAGAAGACAGCGACTACCTGAAGAAATAAAGTAGAAATAAAACAGTCGACTGACCCAGCCTCACGTTTCATCTCTGACAAATGCATCAAAGGAAGTTTAGTGGGAACACATATCCTCTGTGATACCATTCTTACCGAAGAGATAGACCAAACACTTACTAGTCATCTCTGTCAGTGACCCCTCATGGACTTTCCATTCCTGCAGCTAGTAACTGAGGCTCAGTGGCTCTGCATTGCCACCCACCCCTCCCCTGCTGATGTTCTCTCTGTCTTACTGCATGCTTTACCAGCAGCCCCTATTTTCTACAGCTGATGGGTGATCACCTGAACACTGCCAAGGTCCCTTCAGATACCAAGGTCTAGCCCCAAACAACCTGTAGCTGAGTCCCTGCTTCCCTTAGCTTGCACCAGGGACGCTCATCCCAGTGAGCTACTCTAGGTCCAGAAGCTACCTCCCTGCCTTCTGCCCTGGCTTCCTGTAGGAACAGAGACACATTGTGCTGGGCTTAGAGATAGAGCAGCTCACATTTTAACAATGGGAATTTGGGAAATGGGATGGGAACACAGACATGGAGGTTGGAAACTGAAGGGTGGGAAACTGAACAAGGAACCATGAAGAGTCTAGTTTGGTCATGAGACAGGGTACATAAAAAGGAGACACTGGAAAGACCAGCTCTCTGGTCTGAGGCCAGACTGGCGAGGATGTTGTTAGTCTGGAATCTACCCTTAGTGCTTCTGCTGAGGTGCTGAGATTTCTAGAAACAGAGCTTTGAGGACTCCTGAGTAGATAAAGCCTGGCCAGGATCCCCAAGAGGCCCCCTGAAAAAAAGGGTTCAGGACATCTCTGTTATAACTTTGGTTTCCTTACTTTAAAAATGGTGGCAATAACCATGGTATCGACCTTCTAGCACTAGAGAGATCCATGTAAAGGATGCCTGACTCGATAAGAACTCGATAAATGTGGTAAGAACTCGATAAATGTTTGCAATTAGGATTCCCAAGTACAAACTGGGACTCTTAATACTTGTCCTCAAACATGTCCCACCTCACCCCAGGAAACAGCAGAACCATCCTCCCAACCACCCAGGCCAAAACCTACACGTCTGGATTACTAGTAACATTAATATTTGTACTCAATTTGTTTTATCCTCTGAGATCCATGAATTTCAAAATTACATCATCAACATTACCACTAACAAAAACCTCTTAAATAATGGTTAAGTTTCCTTTCAGTTTGTATTATCCTTAGAATATAACTCACTAAAGATGTATAGTCAGAGAACTATGTTGAGATAACCTGAATTCTTTTCTCTAGGGGTTATATTATTACAGTTACTTTCATTTGTTTCTGTTTTTAACTTGTTTTTCCCCATCTCGGTCCACTCAACCCTCCCCCTCCCTACAGCCACCACCTGACCCTGAGGCACATCCTTCCACCTGGACTACTATAGGAGTTTGTTCCCCGACTCTCGCTTCCCTGAAAATCCTGGGTGATTGTTACAAAATGTAAATCAGATCCTGTCATTCCTCTGACCAAAATTCTTCAGCCGTGTCACCATGGCCCATAAGGTCCTATATAACCAGAGGCCTGACTCCCACCCAGCCTCAGCTCACACCCTTCTCCCTCCTGCATGATGGCCTCTTCATTTGTTCTTCCAAGACCCGGACTTGATGATCTCGGTGTCCTTACATTGCTGCTCCTGTTGTAGAGAGTGATTGTTTACCCCCAGATTTTCACACATCTGGCTGCTTCTCCTCTTTTATATCATGGCTTAAAAACCACCTCCTCAGAAAGGGCTTCCTTGACTCTCTATGCAGTACCTCTTGCTTTCTTCATTACTTTCTAGTATATCACTCTATTTTCTTCACTGCCTTATTACAGTCTGAAATTATCTTATATATTTGTTTACTTGTTTATTATCTATCTCAAGTAAGACTATAAGCTCCACGAAGGTAGGAATCTTATGCTTAGTGTAGTCCCTGACTCATACTTGGTACTCAATAAATGTTCATGCAATGAATGGAAGTTAAGTCCTCTGAAATTACTATAAAAGGCTTCTGAGTAGCCAAGTCAGAGATGAGAGTATACCCATACACAAAAGCTCATGGACCATCCTCTGGGCTCAAAGCCAGTTTACTCTCACTTTATAGACCTATTTCTAACAAGCTCGACTGACTGGTTTCCTTGCCTATAGCCGATTTAAAACAGTAAATAGGAAGAGGAGGAGGGATGCTGTCAAAATTAGCCATTGACGGTGACACACGAAATCCCAAAGCCAAGTATTTGGGGGCCATCTAGCTGAGGGCAAACAGCCCCACCCTTCAAGGGCATCACTGTCCAATGAAGGGCTTTAAGATGGCAGTTGCCATCATCATTATTAGAGAGTGCCTGGTATATACTAGGTGTCAATGATTATGTACAAGACACATTTTGGAAAGTTTTCTGTCAAAAAAGGATAGAAAAAAATTTTGGTTCTTAAAGGAGCTTTGGTCATGTGGAAAAATCTGATATTCATTCCTCACTGATGGTGGATAATTGAGACTCTGCTGTTTTTCCTTTCACTTGAACAGAACTTCCTCTTTTAATTCTTCATATTCTAATGACCAAGCACATGACCAAAGCTTCATGATTTGGTTGACTTATACCAGGAGTTCTGGATGTGGGATTCATGGACAGATTTCAGGGGTTATGTAAACCCCTGGTAGCAGTCTAAGTGTTTCAGTGATGAGTACAATTCTATGCAAAATGCCATATGTTAGAATGATCTGTGCAATTTTTCTAGGGAGATGGTCTATGGTTTTCATCAGATTCTCCAAGGAGATTAAGAAGCCCTGACTTAAATCATTATTTCCTCCTGGCCATTTTCTTTCTAGACTCAAAAAACAGCAGCAGCTTTGGGTTTAAAAGTCTGTGGCCTGGAGACAGTGACTCTGTCCCTGTTTCCAGATTTGGAAAATGAAGACACCAAACTTGTGGGATTGCTGGAAGGGTTAAGTAAGAAAACTTACTTGAAAACATCTAACATACTAACCACCACACAAACTACCATTATTATTAAGAATTCTAATCAGATGCAGGTGACTCTGCCTCCTATTAAAACCTGTTTCAAGATGTGGTGATCAAAACTGAAAGAACTTCAAATGTTGGCAGAACACATTTTATATAATAGAAAGACAGTGCTACTTTGTTCTTAATCCCTTCTGGAAGAGGCTTGACTTTTGTATACTTCCATTTCTACAATCTTTTATTAGTTTAATACCGTCAGGGAATGGCCAATCTCTCTGAGAAGTCTTTCCTGTGTTTCTGAGGCAAAGAGATTAAAGACATGTAACTTGAATCCCAGTTCTGTCTCTTACTGGTTATGTGTCCTTAACAAAAGAATTTCTATGTATTCACTTGCACAAGTGGGGCTGATAATACCCAGGTCATTGGGATCTTGGGAGCATTAAATGATATAGTACCTATAAAATGTTCACAGTCCCTGACACATAGTAAACAAGTAGTAGCTACTATCATCATTAACATGCTTATTAGCAAGTGCCTCATGTTAAGTAGTAGGTGGTCAATCGATGCTAACCTTTTCTTCCATCACATCCAGTCAGACCAGCCCTGAACTCTTTCTTACCTGGAGCATGCTATGGTTCATCTGGTACTGCAGGATGGCCTCACAGAGGTTCCAAAATGTGTATTCTGGCCACAGAACGGGTTGGAACACCAAGCAGGAGTGGGAAGTCTGGGAAAGCGGGGGAAGGAAGACAGGATAGTTTAGTAGCATGTTGCTGGAACATATTCCTGGTCAGGCTTCCAAAGAAGGAGCAGGATGAGCATGACCCAGGGGCCCAGAGATGAAGAGGGCCCGGGCACCTCGAGCTGGAGCTACCATCGCCGCCAGTCCCGAAGTCCCTCGCTCATGGGGAGGGGTCATCTGAGGCACCTGAGTGCAGCGAGGCAGAACTATAGCAAGACTAGATCAACATTCCCACCAGGATTTTTCTAAGAGCCAATTTTAGGACTATGAAATAACATCTGGATTATGTTATTGGCTCTTGGCCCTTAGAGGTCATCTGGGAGACACATTGTCTGATAAAAGTCAGCAATGAACAAATGGTAGCTGGGGCTGTTATTTTTAAGTAGCAGAGTAGGACACGTGGTGAAGAGCATGGGCTCTGGGGCCAGACTACCTGGCTTCGGATCCTGGGTCCACCATTTACCATCCATGTGACATGAGGCAAGTTACTTAACCTCTCTGGGCCTCAGTCTCCTCAACTGTAAAACTGGGGAATAAGAATACCTGGTTTTTAAGGTACAATGAAAATTAAACAAGATAATGTACACAAAGCAGTCAGACTACAGAGCTGGACGAACCCTAATAATAATCACTGATGTAAGAATTCCTTTTGGAACATTCTTGACAGCCACCGCTTGATACCTTTAGTAGTGAGGAGTTCAGTGCCTCAAGAGGGCTGACTTTAGTTGTCAGACAGCTTGTTCTGCTAAACCAATGTCACCTTCCCCGGAACTTCTACCAAAGTCTCAGGTCTTTTCTCTGGAACAGGTCTGTTTCTTCTTCAAAGTGACATTCTTTCAAATATTTGAAGTCAAGATTAGAACTGTTATTTGTCCCCAAGGTTGTCATGTCTTGCTCAGTTTACCTTTGCCAAAAAACCATACATTTTAAGGCAGCAGGGATTATTTCTGACTTGGTGACTGCCATATTCCCAGCACACGAAGGAGGAATTCAGTATTTTTTTCTAAGGGAATAAACTGTCACCATGCCTCCCTTTTCCAGACCACTATCCTTCACTCATTCCTTACATGCCATGAGCTCCAGATTCCTTGCTATCCAGGTTGGCTGCTTCTGGTAAGTCCTCTAGTTTACCAATGCAGTCTTTTAAAACTCAGTGCCCAGAAGTGAACTTTCCAGACATGATCTGACCAGCACAGCAGACCACCGAACCATAAGCTCCACATTATTTCTTTCAATATAGCCAAAGACCAAAAGTATCTTCAGTAGCTAAATCTTTTAAGACTATGGTCTATTAACATTTCTGGAACTTGCTTCAAAGCTGAGTCCCTCCAACCTCTCCTTGAATAGTCATGTGCTACTTAGGGGCCAAGTTAACAGATGATGGAGATTTTCAAGCAAAGGCAAACTGATCTGGCTCTGAGCTTTTGGGGGACCATTTACACAGAGGTGACTGAGCTAAGAGGCAGCAGCAGGCCCCTAAGAAAGAGTCTGCATATAGTTTATATCCCTTGTGGACTGTGCCTGCATAGACACAGCTGTTTCATCTGAAGAAGACAGACCTCTAACTGCAAGGCAAGGTTCTAGCCCAGAGGGGCTGGAGTATCTGGCAGATTACCAGGGCAGCTGCTTATGCTCAAGGACACAAGGCAGAAGTCCAGTGCTTTGAACAGGGGCACAAGTGAAGTTTTCACCACAGCTGGATAGCCTTGATTTTCCTCTAGGCACTTCAGAGAGCAAGAACCACACAGGCTGGCAAAGCCAGGGACAGAAGAAGAAGGACAGCGAATGTTACCAGGCACAGCCTGGATACATTTCTCCAGATTCCCCCTGCCACCCCAGTTCTCTGGTACCAGCATGGCTACGAGTGGGGATGAGCCCTACTAAATCCATCCTGTGGGTTCAATCAGTCTTCACGCTGCCACAAACACACCAGTGGTTGCAAACTACTTACCTGCCAGAGCAAGAAGTCGCTGAGCCTCACTTCCCCGGAAGTCCGTATCAAGATGTCAGGATGCGGAGAGTGGTTGGTATAGAGGCACTTATCGAGCAGAGACTCAGAGACATCACTAAGGCGAGTGGGGAAGAGACAAAGGTAAGCACACATCTCTTTTCAGATTATTCTCATGCTGAACTGATACGTAAGGCTTCCCAGTTTATAGAACACCATTAGCCAATACAGGCAGAGGCCCTTAACATTCAAATAAATGGATGATTTTAGTCCTCACAACTACATAAAGTATTTCGATCCTCATTTTATACATAAGGAAACTGAGGTTCAGAGAAGATAAATAACTTGCCCAAAGTCATTTCACTGCAGGCCTAAAACGAGATGCACCCACTAGAATGTGTCCTTCACTTGAAACATCTTGTTTTTTAAAATGCATACATCTGGGGTGCCTGGGTGGCTCAGTCAGTTAAGAGTCTAACTTCAACTCAGGTCAGGATCTCAGAGTCCTCCAATGGAGAGTCAGGCTCTGCGCTCAGCGAGGAGTCTGCTTCTTCCGTTCCCTCTCCCTCTGCCCCTCCCCTGCTCATGTGCATACACACACTCTCTCTCTCTCAAATAAATAAAATCTTTAAAAAAATAAAGAAAAATAAAGTAAACCCTGCAATTTGATACAATACTAATGCAACTATTTTTAATAAAGATAAATCTAAATGCACTGATTGGGGAAGATCAGAACTAATATTAATTGAAAAAAAATAAGCTTCGGAAAATATACGGTGCAGGGGCGCCTGGGTGGCTCAGTCAGTTAAGTGTCAGACTCTTGATTTTGGCTCAGGTCATGATCTCAGGGTCATGAGATCAAGTCCTGTTTTGGGCTCCACAATGGGCATGGTTAAGTCTGCTTAAGATTCTCTCTCACCTTCTTCCTCTGCCCCCCCACCCCTCTTAAAAAGAAAAAAGAAAATATAGACTGCAGGGCCACCTGGGTGGCTCAGTTAAGCACCTGCCTTTGGCTCAGGTCATGATCCCAGAGTCCTGGGATCGAGCCCTGCATTGGGCTCTCTACTAAGTGGGGAGTCTGCTTCTCCCTCTGCCCTCTCCCCATGTGCGCGCGCTCTCTCTCTCTCAAAAATAAATAAAAATTTTAAAAATAAAAATAAAAAATAAAGAAAGAATAAAGTTTAGAAAGATATACACCATACTCTTAATGATGATTACTTCTGGAAGGTTGGATAAGAAGGAAAGACTAGGGGGAGACGAACCATGAGAGACGATGGACTCTGAAAAACAAACTGAGGGTTCTAGAGGGGAGGGGGGTGGGGGGATGGGTTAGCCTGGTGAGGGGTATTAAAGAGGGCACGTTCTGCACAGAGCACTGGGTGTTATGCACAAACAATGAATCATGGAACACTACATCAAAAACTAATGATGTGAGGTATGGTGATTAACAACAATAAAAAATTTAAAGAAAAAAAAGAAGGAAAGACTATTTCTTTTTTACTTTACGTACTTTCATTATTGTTTGAATATATTACAAAGAACATCTTTTAGGAGCGCCTGGGTGGCTCAGTCGGTTAAACATCTGCCTTTGACTCGGGTCGTGATCCCAGGGTCCTGGGATAGAGTCCCGCATCAGGCTTTCTGCTCTGCGGGGAGCCTGCTTCTCCCTCTGCCTCTCTCTCTCTGTTTCTCATGAATAAATAAATAAAATGTTTTTTAAAAAAGAACATTTTTAAAAAAGATTTATTATTTGAGAGACAGGGAGTGAGAGCGCGTGTGTGCACAGGGTGGGGAGGGGCAGCAGGAAAGGGGGAGACTCCCTGGTAGGCGCAGAGCCTGACCCGGGGCCATGACCCCAAGATCATGACCTGAGCTGAAATCAAGAGTCAGCTGCTTAACCGACTAAGCTATCCAGGTGCCCCTAAAGAACATTTTTAAAAACTTTTAAGTTACATGGACCATGAAACACTGCAAAAAATCCATATTACTTAGGATTTAAAAAAAGAGCAAAATGATCAGCCCTCCCACGTCGGTTAAGAGCTACTTTCCCAAGCAGATGGACATTTAGAAAGGAGATGGAATGGAGGAAGAATGGGGACTGCCATCATTTATCTGAAGTAAAACACTCCTGTCCATGGAAAGAAGGTATTTGAAAGGCTGGTTGTCTGTTAGTTCTAAACACTGTGTACCTGTCCTACCAAGCACCAAGAGGCAGAATTTGGAATCTCCAAGTGGTAAGACTTGCATCTTGGGAGGGGTCTAGAAGATAAAATTTCTTGGTGGGAAGATTCTTCCAGGAGCACAGTTTAAAAAGCAGAGAGATCTGGGCTATTTTTTTTTTTTTAAGATTTATTTATTTATTTGAGAGAGGGAGAGAGACAGGGAGCGAGCACAAGCTGGGGGATGGGCACAGGGAGAGGGAGAGAGAGAATCTCAAGCAGACTCCCTGCTGAGTGCAGAACCCAACGTGGGGCTCAGTCTCACAACTCTGAGATCATGATCTGAGCCTAAATCGAGAGCTGGACACTCAACTGACTGACCCACCCAGGCACCTCTGGGTTGAGTGTTTAAAATGAGACTACATTTACCAACTATGTGCCTTTGGGTCCTCTTTTTACAAATCACTGAGGGAGTTAAATTTTTTATACCATCACATGGGAAACAATATTCACTTATAAATTGCAAGAGGAAGGGCTCTAATTCAGATTTCCCTGAAAACCTGAAGAGTCTTGTCTTAGCAGCATGGTCTTAATTCTCTAAGAAATCTGAGACCCTGTATAATCAATATAATTTCTCAGCTCCCTTATCTTTGAAATGGGCACATTTGTCCTATCTACTTATGGGTTACTGTGAGGGTCAAATCAAATGAAATAACAGCGGCGCCTACGTGGCTCAGTTGATTAAGCATCCAACTCTTGATTTCGGCTTAGGTCATGATCTCAGGGTTGTGAGTTTGGCCGTGTCAGGCTCCATGCTGAGCGTGGAGCCTGCTTAAGATCTCTCTCTGCCTCTGCCCCCACCCCCTAAAAAAAACAAAACAAAAACAAATGAAGTAACAGATTTGAGTGTACCTTAGGAACTAACTATAAAGTATTATGTAAATAAAGAAGAAGAAATGTTATTTCCAGGCCCACCACTTTGCTGTGTGACTTCAGATCCCCACTTAATCTGAGTTTCAAATGGGTCTGCCAAAAGGTTTTTTCCATCTACTCAGGCAGTGGGCAGAATTCTTATCGAAAATGAGGTCACTCTAAGAGGGGTGGGAGGAGATAAAATTGACAAAATGAAAATAGAAAATCTGTGCTATGGCTAACAAAAAACCATCATTACATAGCATTAGCTGTCTACATGAAGACTTTTAAAAAATACTTTTTTTCTTTTCTTTTTTTTAAAAGTAATTCCTATACCCAATGTGGGGCTGGAACCCACAACCCCGAGATCAAGAGTCTCATGCTCTACTGACTCAGCCAGCCAGGTGCCCCAAGAAGTAATTTCTATTAAATAAAAGTAAAATACCAACTTTCACCTATAAAATTACAGTAGTTTACTACTTTATTTGGCAAAAATAAGGTGAAATGGACACATCCAGACCCAGATCCTGAGGTAATCCAAAATGCTGACAAGAGTCAAGTTTATAGACTTCATTGTAGCATTATTTTTTAAGATCTTATTTATTTATTTGAGAGAGGGAATGAGAGAGAGCAGGAGAGGGAAGAGGGTCAGAGGGAGAAGCAGACCCCCCGCTGAGCAGGGAGCCCAATGTGGGACTCGATCCCGGGACTCCAGGATCATGACCTGAGCCAAAGGCAGTCGCTTAACCCACTGAGCCACCCAGGCACCCCATTGTAGCATTATTTGTAATACGAGAAATTAGAAACAGCCTACATAAACAACAACTTGAATGATTAAGTCAATTAAAGCAGGATATATTCTGCAGCCATTAGAAATAACGATATGACAAATTATTAAAAACACGAGGCATGGAAAAGTGCTCATATTACAACATCAAGTGAACAAAAGCATGATTCAGGTGGTAAAGTGTTCACAGTGTGATTTCTTTTGTTATAAATATTTATGTCATTAATGGATTTGTGTTTTAAAAAAGATGACTCTGGCTGAACTTCGAACCACAACTGATCACTACTTTCGTCAGCACCAGCTTGTGCCCTGCGCATCCATTAGTCTGGTACCGAGCACCATGGGTGACTTACGTGTGTACATGAACCAGACTGTGAGCTGCCTGAGGGCAAGCCTCATGACACATTCAGCTCTGTATTCTTGCTCTTCTAGCATGGCACCTTCTTGGGACAGAGAAAGACTTGATACATGTTTGAATAAATGAGTGAATGAATCACTGAAAATAGATCTCAGAAACAGATACATGTTGGTTTTCTGAATGTGAGGAGCTTACAGGCTAAAAAAGTTTTTGACAACGTACTTGCAAACAACCTAGAACCCAAACACAGGTAACAGATACTGTCACAACTTGATGGGAAAAATCAATTCAGTTGATTAAACTCACACACACATATTTAAGCAAAAGACCTAGAAAGACATACTTAAAGTGTTACCAGGAGTGTTGCAGATCCTGAATATCTAAATTTTCATCTTTATATATCCAGTAGTTTGCAAATGCTCTCTGATGAACATGTAGGACCTTTATAAAATATGTGCATATTGGGGCTCTGATTAGCCCAGTCCGAGCAGAACACCAACCTTTCTAAGTTTGCAGCCTCCTTACCCTGGTGACCCTGCCCCGCCCACGCCATATCTATCCACTTGACTAATCCCACGTAGGTAAGTTCCTAAGCCACGCAAGGCAAAGAAAATGAATATGGGAAAACTTCCTGGGCAAGAAGGAGAAGATAAAGGTCAGTGATTGTCGCTGTGGTATGAGTATCAAGAACACTGAACTAAGAGGCAAGATCAGAGTTCTAGTCCTAGGCATGAACACACACATATCTACTGGCTAAAAGCTTTCTTTCTTTTCAGCATAAACTTTTATCTCTTTAAATGAAACATTAACTGGAAAGCACAATAATACTGTGAACAACTATGAAATCACCCCACAAGTCAAGAATCAGAAAACCACAGTAACCTGCATCTACTCATATAACCCTCTTCCTCTTCCATCTCTCATCTTCCTGCCTGCCCCCCACCAACTTAACCAGCATCTTAATTTCTTCCCCAACAGTTCATTTTCAATCCGCAGCTTAACTGACCTCTCTACAGCGCTCGACACTGTTGCTCCCACCAATGCCTGCATCCTCCCACCCTGCACCAGCAAATTCCCTCTTCTCTTGGCTTCCGTAATACTGACTTGCCCAGCTTTCTTCCCGCCTTTCTGGTTGTTCATCCTCTTTTTTCCTTAAGGCTCCTTCTCCTCTACCCAGCCAGCAGAACTCAGAGTTTCTCAAAACTCTCCCCCACTCTAGACTCTCCTCGATGTCCTCAGGCCCTCTTTGCTTTGGTTACCAACTACTCAGATGACCTCCACGCCAGTATGTCCAGTCCCCACCTCTCCTCGCAAACTGTCAGCCTGCCATCTATGCTCAACATCTACGGTGTATCCCAAATCAAACTGCTCACCTTCCTCCTCAAACTGGACCCTCCCTCAGGGCTCCCCGGCACAGGGAGGGGCACTGCTATGCACTGTTTCGGAAGTCAAAAACGCTGGAGTCACTCATAACACATCTTTTTCCCAGACTTGGCCCATGAAGGCCCCTCGATTTTATCTACTTCCTAACTCTTGATGCAGTCTATTTGACCTCTTCTTCCGCCACCACCACCACGCAAGCTCCATTCTGGGTAATCTCTACCTGAATTACCCCAATAGCCACTCTGTAACCGACAAGCTCCTCACACTACTGCTGCCTCTTTCTCCAGTTACCGCGTTGTCTTCCTTCTCTGGCCACCGATCATTTCCTCGGCAAAGCCTTCCCTACCAGGTCTACTCCTCTTACTATAAATTCTTGTTGTATCTGGCACCAATGTTTTTATAGCGTTTGATCACCATTATAATGGTATGTCAATGTGTATAATATTGATTATTGTCTGTTTCCTTTATCAGAGCTCCCTGAGGGCAGGAAATATGTACTTTTTTTTACCACTGTACCTTCTCTGTACAACAATGTGCTTGGCCTTTATGTGGCACTTTTAAAATGTTTGTTGAGTGAATAAATGACTGACTGACTGAATGAACTCTGTGGCACAGAACAATCACCTGGCTGTTGGAGAGGAAAAGGACTTTAAAATAGCCTTAAAAACTGTCTCCTTTTCTGCTTATCTAATTCCGTTCTCAATGAGCAACTTTCTGATTTTTAACTTAGTTTCCCAGGTAAATCAAATTATACCCAAGAAAGGAATCAGACAATTTCCTGAGTCTCAAGGTCCTAGATGACAGAGGGAAAGGACAGGCACTCTGGAATCAGACAGCTCTCGAGATGAGTCGGCTCCGGCACTCATAGCAGGATGGCCTGGGGAAAGCCACTCTAATGCTCAGCTCAGCTTTCTCATCTATAAAATGGAGAAAACACTGGAACCTCTCATACATGAGATCAATGACTGAGTAAAATACAGAACATAACACATCGCCTGGGTTATTTTTGCTGTTATTTTACTCTTGCTATTATTAGTTTATTAATATTATTACCAAATGTTATACGAACAATAACATGAAGGGACTGAGAGGCTAAGTCTCTACCACTCTAATAGTTCGGATTCCACATGCTGCTTGTGATGAACAATTTTCTTTTTGAAAAATACCTGAATCTCGCATGAAACTGTAACATGAGAGACCTAAAGGACTCTAACAGCAACAAGTTGCATTCCTGAAAAACCATTCGAGGAAAAACACTGCCAAAGGACCAGGGGACATCTTTTTTTTTTAAGATTTTATTTACTTATTTATTTTTTAAAAGATTTTACTTTTAAAGTAACCTCTACACCCAATGTGGGGCTTGAACTCATGACCCCGAGGATCAAGAGTCACATGCTCCACAGACTGAGAGCCAGGTTTCCCATGGAGGACATCTTTTTTTTTTTTTTTAAGATTTTATTTATCTGAGAGAGAGCGACAGAGAGAGACAATGAGCATGAGCAGAGGGAGAGAGGGAGAAGCAGACTCCCTGCTGAGCATGGAGCCCGACATGGGGCTTGATCCCAGGACCCCGAGATCACAACCTAAGACAAAGACACTCAACTGACTGAGCCACCCAGGCACACCAGAGGGCATCTTTTTAAAAAAAAAAAATTTGAGGCATCTGGGTGGCTCAGTCAGTTGGGTATCTCCCTTCGGCTCAGGTCATGATCTCACGCGTGGTCCTGGGACCAGGCCCCACGTCCGGCTTCCTGCTCGGTGGAGGGTCTGTTTCTCCCTCTCCCTCTGCCCCTCCCCCCTGCTCATTCTCTATCTCAAATAAATAAATTTGAAAAACTTAAAAAAAAAATTTCAATTCCAGAGGCACCTGGCTGGCTCAGTCAGTGGAACATGTGACTCTTGATCACGGGGTCATGAGTTCGAGCCCGTTAGGTGTAGAGATTACTTAAAAATAAGATCTTGGGGCACCTGGATGGCTCAGTCAGTTGAGCGCCTGCCTTCGGCTTAGGTCATGATCTCCAGGTCCTGGGATCGAGCCCAGTGTCAGGCTCCCTGCTCAGCAGGGAGTCTGCTTCTCCCTCTCTCTCTGCCTCTCCCCCTGCTTGTGCTCTGTCTCTTTCTCAAATGAATGAATAAAATCTTTAAAAAAATAATAATAAATAAAATCTTAAAAAAAATTAATTCTAATATAGTTAACATACAGCATTATATTAATTTCAGGTGTAAGGACATCATTTTTTAGTGAATGCCACAGCCTTGCTACTTGCTACACCATTTTTCCGGGGCTTCTTGGGGTGCGGTGAACACAGAAATTCTGAAGCAGGCTTCGACAAGCCTATCCTAAGCTCTATGTGGGGAGGGTCATGCCCCTAAATCTGTCTACATGCATCACTGAATTGACTTCCGGCCCAAGGACATGGTTTAAGAGGGGCACGCCCGGTTTCCCTTTCGGTTACCATGCTAAACAAGCAGGGATACCTGGGATCCAGCAGGCCTTGCTCCACTCCCCAGGCCATCTCTCTCACAGCATTACTGATCTCGTGACGGGATGTGTAAGCAAAGCAGACATTTAGGAAACACCTGAGAAAGGAAGAAGAGAATAATTTACTAGAGGACAGGGACTAAGGACTAGAGTCACTGCCTACAGAGTACTGCTTCCCCAGAAGAACGCACACATACCAAATGTGAATCGTGGCTATCTCTGAAAGGTGAGATTATGAATTCTTTGCGTTTTCCAACTTTTCTTAGAATAAACATGTTATTAGTTTTGTAACAAGACAAACACTAAATGACCCTTTTACTCCCTAACCCTCTCTCCTTCTACTGCCAACCAGCTTTCAGAGGATGTGAATCCACTGTGATATTAGCACAAGCAAAGTAGAATAGGGAGGAAATTTGATGCAATCCAGTCCCCTGCCAAACACATATCATATTCCAAAGGCACATATGCTGAAGTTTGGATGACTGAACTCTGACCTCCCAATGTCAACCTGTCCATGGGTAAAGAAGTGGGACAGAAAAAGATTTTCTTGAAAGATCTGTCTTCCGGGACAGAAATATACTGTAGACAGAGACAGAATATATTATAATGTGGGGTATCAGGCAGGTCCTGGAAGGAAAACTCTGATCCAGAGCTCAAGGCCATATCCATAGCTTACCTACCTTGTAACGCTCATTTTCACCCTAGCCCCTGTCAAGTAAAATAGTAATAATGATGACGATGATTGTATACGTGTGCATATGTAACCGTATGTATATGCATGTACGGTGGGGGGCAGGCGCATGAAAGAGGAAGAGGATAAAGAACCGTATGTGTGAGTTCGCACACATTTGACAAGGTATTAAGAACCGTCTCTGGTCTGCCCTGCAGACGGAGGAAGTCTCTAAGCATCCCAAACCGCTCCTGGCCTCTTGTACCAAATGCAGACCAAGAAAGGCCCAGCGTGTCTCTCTGAAGCTAGCAGGGAGTCAAAGACTGCTCCAGGTCACTGAGGGGAAACGGGAACACTTACTTGTTATAGTTCCTGGTGGCCTGTACCGCCTGCGCAATCAGCTCCTGGAGATCCAGGGGCAACAAATGCAGATCGCCCAGGACCCGGATACATACCCCATGCTTCTGCAGTTTCTCCCTATCAGGAAAAGGAGGCAGGGTTGGGACAGAGAGCCCGTGGTGCTGGAGAACGGCTAACACTCAGCTCCCAGTTCCTAAGCACTGCCCTGTGTGCCGTGTGTCACCACGTCCCCTCAACAACTCGGACCCGAGTCTGCCACATTCCCCACTCTACAGCAGGAAACGGAAGCTCAGACAGGACAGGCAGACAGACACGGACCAACGTCAGACGGTAGCAGAACTAAAACCTAGGTCTGCCCAGTTTGAGAACCTGAACCCAAACTCTTTACCACACGTTACAAGGCTTCATACGTCCTTCTTGGCAAGTTACACTTTATGTGTCCTGTCCTGTTTTGACAAGTGAATAAACTCAAGGGCAGAAGCTATACTGTTCATTACTTCTGTACCTTCTGGAAAAAGATGTTAATAACAGCAACATCATTAAGTTTATGTTTACTAAGTGCCAGACATTGGTCTAAGTGCTTTACACACAACAATATGTTCCATCCTTACACCAACCTTCAGGGCAGACACCATTATCATTCCCCTTTTACAGGTGAGGAAACTGAGGCACAGGGAGGTTAGGTAATTTGCTCAACATCAGACAGGTGGTAAGTGGAAAGCTGAATTTAAACCTAGGGAGCCTGGTTCCAGGGCCTGTCCTCTTCATCATGGCACCTTGCTGCCTCCATAGAGTATTCCCAAATTCTGCACAGTGGGCAGAATTGAATTGTTACCCAACCAGCTTCCCTCGCCTGGGGACGCTATGGAGAAACTGAATTACTAGTGTTTGGAAAATGGGAACTTAATAACAAGAAGTATCCTGCAGAGCAGGTAGGTCCTGGAGATCCCTGATCCAGAGTGCAAGGCTGCATCCACAGCATCACTTTGTAACCCACATCACTTTGCTTGTAGAGCAAAGCAAGATCTAACCACCTGTTTTTGAGAATCCACTGAAGCTGATATAGTAGGCAAATGTATACTCGGATCAAGGCAAAACCAGAAGGAAAATAGCTACATTCAAGTCCTAGAGCCAGCACTTACTAGCTGACCTTGTATAACCACTAAGCTTCTCTGAGCCTCAGTTTCCTGCACCCTGTGAACTGGGGGTAATAACCATCCCTGCCGTACTCTCCACATTGGCTTGTGTTGAGTGAGAGAAGGTACGTGAAAGTGTTTATTCTCAGACAACAGTCACGTTATTTGAGTGAGGTCTATAGGGAAGGAGAGATAAAAGCCCTGGAGAAGAGTCAGGAGATCTGGGTTCCCAACCTGGTTTTGCCATGAGCTTGCTGTGTGACCATGAGCACGGCTTAAACTTCTATCCACTAGGGTTGTTTCCCAACTGATGAAACTGAACAAGGGCTGTGGTCTTCCAACCTTCCTAAAGCCAAAAACTCTTTCTTCAAGTCACACATTAAACAGAAGCCCAATACATAAAATAGGTAAATGCCAACCAGCACCCTGTGCCCCATTCCCTCTGGCTTCTTTGCACACCTGCTCCTCAGAACTCTAAGGTTCTGTTGCACATCGTTGGAAAACCACCGATAAGATTTCTTCTTGTTCTGACCAGGACTTTACAACTTAAGACCATTTTCTCTACTGCTGACTGATTAGAGCAATCTCAGTAGCACCCTACTGCTATGCATTTTGATCTTCAGGAACTCTAAGATTACCTCCTGTCTTTCGGACCACACTGTAGCAGGCAACAGCTCAGCTCTGGAGTTGGAAAGATCCTGTCCGTCTTGACTCTGCCTGTCTGATAGCTGTGTGACCCCGGAGACACCTAACCTTCTCTGGTTTTCACTTTCCTCCTTTCTACAACTGGGGTAATAATAATCTCTTTCTCACAGGATAAGGTGAATATTAAATGAAAATACATGCCAGGCTCAGGGCCTGGCACACAGTATAAATACTTTAAAAAGGTGGGATCAGTGTGATGTACAGAAGAATCTGAATACCTGGAAAGTGCCCCCAACGCCTCCAGCCCCAGCCCTTGGGTAGGAACTCTGAACCACACGGCCTCTGCTGGGGACCAGGAAGGTAGGTCTGTGGCCAAGTCTCATTATCCTATACGGACAGAGAGAAGCCTTGCTACCCTCCCCACTCCAAAACCCACACTGGGACAGAAATGACAAAATTGTTCTAGGCCCAGCTCCACTGGTGCCCTAGGCTCTCTGTTCTCTCATCTCCCTGCGTCCTGGTACAGGGAAGAGCTGGGCAGAAAAGGGTTGTAATGAAGAGTCTGGGGCAGTCCTGGCTGGGGAGGTTTCCACACTTTGAAGCAAATAATCTCCATCAAACTTCCCCTTTGTCCCTTTCTGGCACTGCTTCCTAAGTTAGTTTAAACTTAGTGAGAGCTAAGAACAGTACTGAGTCTTCCCCATAAAGGCCTCATACACGTCATCCTGTCCCTTCCAAGAGAATATATAGGGCAGCATAGTAATGTTTAGGATGACTAAAAGGACTTTTCCGACATTTCTTTCATGCTACTCCCCTGATCACAGTTTATTGGTCGTGGGGTAGAAATCTAAGGTGGGCTATTAATTAAGGGCTTTAGTTCATTCTGGGCTGCTCTCTTGAAGCAGAGAAAGGTGGAGTGCAGAGAGTAGGAAGAGGCCCTTCTAATGGATTTCAATTCCTGGTTTCAGTTTTGCTTGAGGCTGGTTATACTTGTCCTTGAATTCTGTGAAATACCTCTATTCTCAGATAAATGCCCCCTTAAAAAAGGGGGGGGACTAGCTTGCCATAGATGCCATCGAAGAGATCTAACATTAAAAGGGTTTAGAGTTCCTTAGATAAGCCTGAGATAAGAGAGGTGAGGGTTATGGTGTAAGAGCACGCTCCCCCCTCCAATAGAATCTTACTGTTCTTCCATCAAGCGGCTGAACTTCTGCCGGGCCAGATCCATTAGCCCGTCTACCTCACTCTTGGAGCGTTTGAAGTTCTCAATGCTGAACGCGTAGACCGTCACCTCTAGGATGCCCAGGTTCAAACACCAGCGCAGGGTCTGAGAGGGAGAAGGCAAGGAGCTAGGGCACAAGGAAGAGCAGGAAGGGAAATAAGAGATGCCTCTGCTCTGACTCAGCGTTGGAGGTGAGAGGCAGACTTTTCTCCTCCCCAAACCAGGTAAAGCAAGGATAACACAAGCGTTTCTGTCAGAATAACAAACCAAGTAAACAGAAAGCTACCGCCTGAGAAACTGAAAAATGTGAACTTAATGAGTACTGCTCTGCTGGTGCTATTGTGGTTTACTAGAAAGAACTCTTTACCGACAGAGTAAAGATGTAGGTTCCAGTCCCCAACTCCAATGCGCACTTGCTATGTGACTGTAGGCAAGTCATTGAACCTCTGTGGGCCTAAGTCTCCTTATCTGTAAAACAGGAGCACCATCCATCACTCACAAGGTGGCTGAAGGACAATATAAAACACAAGGTATTAGGGGCGTTCAGTCGGTTAAGCATCTGACCTCAGCTCAGGGTCATGATCTCGGGGTCATGGGATCGAGCCCCACGTCGGGCACCACACTCAGTGAGGATTCTGCTTGTCCCTCTCCCTCTGCTCCTCCCCCTGCTCATTCTCCACCCCCCAAATAAATAAAATCTTAAAAAAAACCCACAAGGAATTATTACTCTCAGCACAAGTTCATCTTTTAGATTGAGAGGCTGATGAGTTATAAGAATAAAGGCATCGAGTACACAACTGTGTAGCATTTAAGTCTACACAGGGTTTTCACAAACATTATTCCATTCGATTCTCTGAACAACCTCTTGAGAATGGCACTGCTGTCTTCATGCCTACTTTATAGAGAAGAAAAACTGAGACTCAGAGAGTGGAAGAAATGTGTCAGAAGGCTAAAACTCTACTATACAAATCCACTATATAAGGTTCTAAAATGGCAAAAACTAACCTCTAGTGATAGAAATCGGTACAATTCTTGCCTCAACAGGGGAAGAGGAGGTGGGACGAGGGTTTGACTGGGAAGGGAGGGGCACAAGGGAACTTTCTGGAGAGATGGAAATGTTCTTTATCTTAACAGGGGTATGGATTAGACGGGTAAATGCAACGGTCAAAACCCCACTTTGTGCATTTCACCATAAGAAATTATACCTCAATGAAAAGAGAAGTGAAACTCATATTAAACCCAGTCCTTTGGGGCTGCTCTAACCCAGAACCACTAAAGGCAGAGAACTAACTAGAGCTAAGAATAACAGTGTTGAGACAGGGAGCCTGTAGGTTAAGGGTAGGGGACAGAAGACATTCAATCAGAACTGAACTGGAAGAAACAAAGCTGAAGAGAACTGTCTTTCTAATCCCTTAACAGGCATACATGCAACTCAATTCATTGCCACCTTGGGAAAATTACCAATGAGAACCTGACACTTGAATGGACTCAGGCTCCACAGACGACAGGGAAGCTACCTTTTGGATGGCACATCTGGGTCGGAACCTACCACTGACCAGTCAATATAGCTGCTAACAATAACACTGCCAACTTTTTGAGCACTTTATGCCAAATCTTTTGCCAAATGCTTTTCATCATGCCATTTTATTTCATCCTCACATAATCTCTGGAAGTAGAGATTATTGTTGTTTTCATTTTATTGATGAAGAAACTGAGGCAAAAGGAAGCTAGCCTGCTACAGGTCACAGAGCCAGAAGTGGCAGAGCAGGGGTGCCCACAGGTTCTGAGTGACTCCAGAGCTTAAGCTCCTAAGCACTGCACAAAACTGCCTTTTACTTAGTCACAAAAGAGAAGATGGGGTCACCAAACCTAAAGACCTCCTCGGGGTGTTCAACTGAGCCCCACATCCACTCACTCAAGGCAAAAAATATCATTGCCCTGGCATCAGGCCATGTTCTTGTGCTGGAAAGCTGAGGTCTCTCCAGACCGAATTTCCATTCTTCTTAAAGTTAGCCTCACAAAGACAGACCATATTCCATTCTTATTGTTAAATTTAAAGTTTTCCAATTTGCAACATGCATTAAAAGCATAAAATGCCCTTAAACTTTGCTTAGAGTGATGACCCAGGTTGTCTGGCACTTTTCCCAGTTTAAGTGCCAAAAGGCCTCAGGCAGGGGTGCCTAGGTGGCTCAGTCATTAAACATCTGCCTTCGGCTCTGGTCATGGTCCCAGGATCCTGGGATTGAGCCCCGCATCAGGCTCCCTGCTCAGCAGGAAGCCTGCTTCTCTCTCTCTCCCACTCCCCCTGCTTGTGTTCCTGCTCTCACTGTCTCTCTGTCAAATAAATAAATAAAGTCTTTAAAAATAAATAAATATAAATAAATAAATAAAAGGCCTCAGGTAAACCAGGATAGGCAGTCACCCCACCTTTGTTCCAGAAATGTTACTTCAAAGAATTTATTCTAAAATGGAACTATTTATAAGATCTGATACTGGTGGAGCAGCTAAACAAATTATGTCAGATCCTTGTAATAAAATATCCTATAGGCATTAAAACATATAGTTAGAAAAGCTATATATCAACCTAGAAAAAGACTTGCCAAAATACCACGTAAAATAAGGTTACTAAAAATACATGTGTAATTTTACAAATGTTAAGTCATGTTAGAACATATTACAAGGACTGGGATGAAGCACAGAAAACTATAGACTGCTGATTTACTGAGGTGGTAAGAGAAGTCAATTTTGTTCTTACTTCTAATATTCTGTGATGATTCACTATATAACTTAATTTCTGTTAATGTTGCTATGAGACCTATAGCAGGCAAGCAAGCAACAAAACAAACAGCTATTAAAAAAAAATACTCTCAAACCATAGTAAACTCAGGGCCTGATTTTGTAGCTATAGTCCGATTCTCCACACACTGTACCCACTGGGTTCTGCCACCCACACTCACCTCAGCCAGCTTGTTGAAGCCCTGTGAGTGGCCTTCCTGCCGCTCCACTTGGCACTTCCTGGCATAGCGACGGTTTCCATCCATTATAAAGGCAATGTGTTTGGGCATTGGGCCCGCCTGTGAAGTAAGAAGACAAATGATGCACACAAGGAGACACTAAACCCCAGGCTGATAGGCTTGAGTTAGATGATAAAAGTGCCCCTGAGGAAGAGAACTGGGTATTTTGAGCTTTTGGCTCAATAAATGGGTATTAAGAGCTTTTACTTATTTATATATATTCATTTATATTGAGCAACCTACTACATGCCAAGTATTATGCTAAGCTTTTTTTTTTACTTCATCTCAGTTTTTTTCATATAAACCTATAAAGTAAACAGTATTAGCTTTATTTCATAGGTGAAAAAACAGGCTCAGAGAGGTCAAGTGACTTGAACAAGACACACAGCTAAGAAAAGGCAAAGTGGTTATTCAAACTGAGGTCCGTATGCTTTCAGAGTTCATCTTTTAACCATATGCACTTGACCACCACTTTGGTTTCATGTCTCCACCTGGAAGGCACAGGAAGGATATTGCTGGCTGTGGTCCAGTGGCAAGGGTATCCTCCACAGAAAAGAGGAATCCACTCTATCCAATCGCTGCCACACAGGAATGGGGGCTCAATGTTGTTGCTCTTCTAATTACATAAGAGAAGCCAAGCATCAGGATTTTTATCAAAATGTAAATGTCAGAAGCCATTTCAAAGCAAACAAAAAAGACATTTTGGGGACCCAATAAAACGTCTTATCTGGCTTAGAGCTGCCTTTTGTTGTCTATTGCAGCAGAAATACACTCCTTAGCCTAATTTCCCTCACTGAAGGGCCTCGTCACTGACTGCTTTCCCCACGCCTCTCCAACATTTTCAGCTTTTGTCCTCCACGTGTAGTCTTAAAAAAAAAAAAAAATTCCAGTCAAGTCATGCAGCTTGTTCTTCCCAACACATGACTGCAATGGTTCCCCAAGAAGATGCTTTCTATTTCCTGGCCTGCCTGAGATCACTTGGCATTTGTGTGTGAATGTGTATGGGGGGGTGGGGTATAAGGCTTGCTGACTCATAAATTCACTGCTACCCACTGCTTGACAGACTGCAGCTGAAAGACAAAACCAGGCTGACTGGCTTCAATCTTAAACTTGTTATATGCAGAAAATATAACATTGTTGTGATCCTCAGAGAAAAGCGGAGGCAAGATTTGGGGAAGTAAGTGGGTGTAGGAAATAGAACGATTGTAGTCTTCAAACAGCTGAAAACAGCCCTAATAATAGCAGTAATTAAGAACCGCTAGACACTGTTTTCGGTGTATGTTTCATTTCATCCTCAAAACAACCATATAAAGTCACATGGTTAATAAATGATAGACTAAGATTTTCATTCTGTTTGTCTGTCTCTACAGCCTAAACTCTTAACCATTATGCTCTACTGCAACATCAAGGAAAGATTATTCTATCTAAATCTAGAGAACAGTACAAGGAAAAATAGATTAAAGTTCCAAGTAACAAATTTCAACTCCCTATAAGGAAGACCTAACAGTCTAGGTTGCCCAATGATATGGCGAGGTGCTGGGGTTCCTGGAAATGTGAAAGTTAGGGCAATAATCTGCCAGAAATGTAGACCTGGAAGTTACCTTGCAATTCAAAGACTTGTTGGTCCCATTGTTAAATTCCACTTAACATCATGTGTTACTCAATTTTATTTTTTTTTTTTTAAAGATTGTATTTATTTATTTATTTGAGAGAGAGAATGATAGAGAGAGCATATGAGAGGGGGGAGGGTCAAGGGAGAAGCAGACTTCCCAATAAGCAGGGAGCCCGATGCAGGACTCGATCCCAGGACTCCAGGATCATGACCCCAGCCGAAGGCAGTTGCTTAACCAACTGAGGCACCCAGACGCCCTGTGTTACTCAATTTTAATAATAGCTTTTGACACAAGATTACCCAACTAACCAGGAGACCAACTGGTACTCACTTTTATGATGTTGGCACAGAACCATTCCCAAAGTGACAGCTCTCCTTCCTTGATCCATGACATAGCTCCTGCCCTGGCAGAAGATGAGCCCAGGACAAGAAGACACCAGCCAGGTAAACTTGGATAAACAAGAGAATAAATCACCAGAGCTTGCAAACAGCTTCGGATGACTTTGTAGGGACTTATCTGGACTGTGGAGAGTAGCCAAGTTTAGGATCCAAAGACACTGGTCTAAGACTATAATTCTTCACCACCCAGAGTTTATAAGCCAATGAGACCTTGGGGCAGAGGCCTTTCCTCGGTTTTGGCTTGGTGGACCTTGCTGCTATCCCCTTTTCCTCGGCATCTGCACTGACTTTTCCTGAACATCCAAGTCTGCTTCCTGCCACCCCATAGTGCCTACATCCTGATCCCTCCCTGCTTCTTCCTTCTCCATCCTCCCCAAGGCCGTTTCCCATTCTGCGCTCCAACACCCTTCACGTGTCGCCCCGTCACCTCCAATCTCAGTATTCTCCAAATTATGTATTCCCTCACTCATCTCTTCCACTGTCCCCTCTGTTTCTCCCACAGCCGTCTCCCCGCCCAGTCACCTCTCTCGCCTCTCGCTCACCGCTTGAACCCTGCACCTGCTCCGCACCGCCCGGCGCCTTTCAACCGCTCCACTTCCTCACGACGTGGCGCTGGAAGAACACGTAATCGTTCGGCGCTGGAACACGCCCCTCCGTCACGTAATGGGCGGGGCTGCACCCTGCGCCTGCGGGTTGGGAGAAGGGGCGGTGCTAGCGTTCCAAGCGAAATTCGCACTCCCAGGAGCCGGGAAGGGTGGGTGGGGGGAGGGAAAGAGGTGGAGAGCGACCGAGCGCCCCGCTCACATCAACGAGTGGGGCCGGCGAGCGGGCTCCGGGCCACGTCCCGGGGACCGGGCCGGGAAAGCCGGGGTCGAGATCACCTAGGGGAGCGGGGAGGTCTGTAGAGCCAGATCGAGAGACCTCGGGCAGGCTGCCCTATAGGGCAAGAATTCGCGGATCGGCTTGCCAGAAGCGCAATTTCAGCAGCCGGTGGCAGGTTGGAACTGTTGAGAAACGGGGTTGGACAGTGTCCTGCTTGCTGGAAGGCATGAGAAGTGGGCGTTGGAGTCCTGGTTCAAGTCTTGCAAATTCTGTATTTACTGCTTGCAGTTTTATTTTGTGGATTTAATCATTTGGTAATTTCCTAGCCTTAGTCTCACAGACGCACTTAGTAATATCAATCCATTTTGTGCTGATTTAAAGCACTAATATTTTAGGATTTTCAAATTCTTAGGACCCACCCAGAGCAACTCAAAATGGGGTTGAGGCTGGAAAGAGCTCTGCTCTAAGAATGACTAATGAAAGGCCATCAATTAACCCTGATAGAAAAATCAAAGGCATTAAGCTCTGTAATCTTTAAGGAAAACTGTTGCAGAACTTGAGGGACTCACAAAAGAAACTAAGAGTTCGATTTTCCCAAAATTAAAAAAGGAAAAAAACCAACTTTACAATTTCTAAACCTTCTCACTTTGTAGTCTCATCAAGAGAACAAGGCAAGGAAGAGTTATTGCACTGGTAAACTCCCAGTTCACGTGTCTCATGAAAGGGTTACTTTTAACACACATGATCAAAGAAAGCCCTAGAGATGAGTAACCCACCCTTGAATAGTCTTAAGCTTTTCTATCCTTCCTGCTTTGCAACCTGGGAATTAAGTTTCAGCCTAGCTGATTAGTTCAATTTTGCAGGAACACCATTTACTGAAGCCCTGTAGTAGTTTGCTTTTAGCAGCTTCCATGGCCAGCTTTGACTTTTGGTATGAAGTCTCTGAAGTGGATGTATGAAACTTCTTACCCTTGTCCTGCCATCTCTTTGCTCTTTGTGTAATAGATGGCATGCCTCCAATCAATTTTTTCTTAAATCCCCTCCCTTGTTGGCAGGGCCGGGTTGGGGGGGGAGAACTAGATGTTTTAAAATACAATGTTCATTAGAAGGCTAGCACACTTGGGCTCAAAGAAAATGTTGTTTTTGTATAGCTAATCAGTGTTACTTCCTCTGGCCTCAATTTCCCTAGTTCCACATATTTCCCTCCCTGGGGTGCTGCAGGGGGTTAATTAATTAAGATTTGTAAAAGGCTTTGAGGAGCAGGGGAGAAAGTATTAGGGTCTCATGCCCCAAGCCATGGCCCCATCCTTTCATCCCAGCCAGTGGCACAGGCAACCCCATTCTTATGCATGCCAAGCTCCTAATCCCCTCTTGAATGTGGCAGCTTCCAAGAGGACAAGAGGCCTTAACTAGAAACAAAAATCCACTGTAATGAGGTGGAAGGACTGAATTTTCAAGATTCAATTCTAACAAAATGGCCGAACAGGAAATGTAATGGTTCCTCTGTTACTTCTGAGTCCCAATCCAAGAAGGTGGGAATTATGGAAGAAAAAACACCCTAAAGATCCAACAAGAGGACAGTTTCAGTACCAATAACTTTTTATTTATTCATTGTATTTTTCCAGGGTAAAGAGAGAAGGGAAAAGGGTCAGCATGTGTGTTACAAAACAATAGCAAGTGGGAAAGAAGTACCCGGCACAGCAAAACAACCATCAAATAAACACTCCCAGAGATGGAGTCACTAAAGCCCAAGGAGGCTCAGTATCCTGCAGTTCAGAAATGAGGGGAAGGGATCAGGTCAAGAACAGATAGGTACAGCTTTCCTACCACGCCCCCCCCCCATAAATTCAAGATTTCACACAAAGCTTTGGTTTCTAGCAGTAAACATGGAGTTACATTCGTCCGTCTCCTATTAAACAATCTTGTGGCCACTTTGACATAAGCTTCTTGCACCTGCATAAAAGTTCCTGAGTGATTTGGATATACATTCATTTTCCCTTCCTTGGTCTCCCGACTCTTACTTCCTACGTGGAAAGCCCCCCCCACCATTGCATTTGCTTCTCTCTACCGTAAGACTGGAGATTAAAGTAGGTTTGTTCCAACCAAATACAAGCATATTAATATGAATCACATCAAGGAATGGTCTTGGCACAGGAGACTGGGAACAAGGGAGGAAGTGTTCTTTGCTTCTTCCAGATGTAAATGTGTATGTGTGGGGGCTTTTTGGAGAGGAGGGATAGAGGAGGGGTAGGGTAGGAGTCAAGTTTTTAGGACAGAAGATCTGGCCCAAAATAGGAAAAAGGGGAAGGGAACACAAAAGAAAAGGATGGTTCAAGACTGCCACACTTCCAGAGGGGTCACCAAGCTATGTTCCAGATTCTTTTCCTGGTGCAGAACCTTTTGTCAAAGATGCTTTGGCTATTTTTCTCAATACAAAAAGTTTGTAAACAATAAAACCCCAAAAGAACATGGAGAAGACCAACACATTATATTTACACAAACCAGGCCACCTAGCAATCACCTAGTCCGCTATTCGTGAAGTCCTACGAAACCCAAACAAATACGAAAACTAGAGGGGGGGCAGCGAGCGGGGGAGACAAGAACCCAGGATCAGACACACATCACCCAATGCGTTCTATTGCATTTGCCCCGTTTCAACACAGTGAGGTAGGTTTGTGGTGATCTCATAGCATGTAAATAAAACCTTTTCTCCTTTAGCTACCACGACACTAACCACTGCGGCAGCAGGACAGGACACCGGCTCTGGGCACCGCGAAGAAGCCATGGCTTATGGTCTCTCTGGAAGCCAACAAGAAAAGCCCAGAATTTATAAAGGTTAAGAAATTCAGCCTTTGCTTCATACACCCATCCCTGGGCAGCTCAAGATGGGTCCACAGTTATTCTTCTTAAACCCATCCTTACCAACTCATTTTTAAAACTCACACGTGCGTGTGCGTGTGCTTGCGCGCGCGCGCACACACACACACACACACACACACACACACACACCCCCTGTTGTGCATGGTAGGCCTAGCCCAATCCAGTGAAGGATGGATCTGGTATGTAAAGTGAGTCCCGTGCCCAGGGATTAGAAGTCTGGAACAGGAATCCTTTATTACATGTATAGAGAACTCTCAACTTATCTTGGCTTCCCCTTGGCACCTTTCAGCTGGTGCGGCCTCTCCTGACGCTACTTCCTGGACCATCTTTTCCTGTTCAGACCAATTTCCAATCTTCCAGTAGGAGATCAAGTCATGGGGCAACTGAGTTAAAACCTAGTCTCCCATGGCTCACTGAAGGTAGAGGGGCTTCAAGAGAACAGTATGGCAGAAAAGCCAGCTCTAATTGCCAAAAATGAGGTAGTTCAATAGGCTATGCACTCCAAATAGATGTTCTCCCTGGTGATCAAACAGAAAATATTCCTGCTGTGCAGTCCCGGAGCTGCTGCCGACTTATCCCTGAGATCGCTAATGTACCTGAGAACACAGTGCAGGAATGAGGGCCTTAAGATTAAAATACACAAAAATACAAAACCAGAATATTTATATTACGAAAACAAAGTTAAAATGCACAAGATACGTCATTCGCACACAGCTAGTGCAGTTGGCATCCTGGAGAAAGTGGGGCCCAAGGTGCGGTTGTCCATGGGAGCAAATAAATAAAATTCTATCGGCCCAGAATGGGGTGGGAGTCAGCTTCGGAGCAGCAGGTCTGCAGCTGTTCCCCCAACAATCCTGTGGCTACTGTCACAACCCATTCCTTGAGACAGTCCTCAGTACCCTATATCCCAACAGTAGGTTATGAGACAAAATGTGGAAAAACCCGCCTTACCCCTGAGAGACTCCCTCCCACAGAATGTAGTGGCTCGTGGGTTGGGCCCATCCATCTGGTCTCATGCTTAAATCTCTACATTCTGGCATGGGAACAATTATTATTACATCTCCTTCTTCGAAAGGAAAACAATTCCCCTCCCCAGGCCACTTTCAAAAGCTGGAGATCTGGGGGCGGAGACTCATATAAAGCACACAGGGAGGGATTTTCTCCAGAACCCTCAGAGCATTTGGATAGAGCGTGGTTGGAGATCATTGGCCTCACCCCTTCCCCCCTACCCTGTGCCAAGAGGGAAGAGGGGGTGATGCTGTGGACCCCAGCCTGAGATGCATGGCAGAGCCAGCTGCCCCCCACCCACCCTGTCCCCACTTTCTCCACTCTGCCGATTGATGCCTGCTCCTCAAAACTTCCTGATCGCCAAAGAATTGCCCCCACCCACTGCAGCTCAATTCTGGGCCTCTGGGAGCAGGGCAGGGCTGTGGATCTCTTCTTCTTCCTCCTCCCGAAAGTAGGCTGGCTTTCCCTGTGAGCTGGGGGCCTGCTGGGCCTTCAGGGGACATGAGGCCACCATATGGCTGATGCTCTGGCAGAAGTGGCACTTCTTGGGCTGGGGTGGCAGCTTGCATTCCTTGGCATGGTGGTCTAGACCTCCACAGTTGTAGCACCTAGAACAGAGCAGGATGGTCAAGTTGAGAAAGGAGAGCAGAAGCCTTCCTCTGAGTGAGGACACCTGGGCTCTGGTCAGTTACTATACTCACTCCCCTTCCTGGAAACTAATTTCCCCACTTAGAAAAGGAAGAATATGACCACAACTGCTACCTCTAAGTTCTTCCCAAATCTGTAATTGTCTACATGGTATCTTCAGATTCAGGTCAACCTGA